CAAGAAGAATGTTCTAAAAAGAAAATAGGACCTTCAATAGGTGTCATAAAAGGTTCCAATCAGATGGTTCCTATTATAGTTGCACAAACTTGTTTTTTGACAATTATCTTCCTTGATGGCCATACTCTTCATTCTATAGTTGTGTTGCTTCTTTGGACAATATTGAATAGTTTTTTTAGGTTCTCTATAATACAAGCACAATCCTTTTTGATAATGATGAGTTTTTTCTTGCTCAGTAAGAGATATGAAATATATCACAATAATTTTTATATTCTCTACTTTTGAATGTATATATTGAAAAGACATTGGCATTGTCATTGAATTATAGTAATATTGTAGTGCATTTATGTGATTTTTAGATCAAAATTTAAAAATTTAATTGTCATACTTTTTAGTAAAGTCAATTGCTTGACTCAATATTTGAGGATTAAGTAAATTAAGCATTAATTTTTTTATCTCACGTTAAAATCCATAAAGAAATTGGTTAATAAGTACAACATCATCTCACTTGATATTAGTTGTAAATTATTGAAACTTTGAAGCATATAATATTATTGATTGATTTCTTTATAATAAAATATGGATCTTATTGGTTGTTATATAAATTGTATCATATTTTCCATACATAGATTGAAACTTTTCTAAAAAAAATCCCTAAATTATTCAATATTAAATCTTATCATTTAAAAAATAATAAAAATCATGATAATACTAAACTTGAAAGGAGTGTATTAATGAAACTAACTTTTGATCTTAGAATTAAATAGCTTTGGAGTTGAAGTTCAATCAGAAGTTATACTTAATTGATAAATCCTCAAAACTTGGATCTTAAGCCATCAAATTTCTTGGACAATGTAATCCTTGGTTCCTTAATATTGAAAGAATGCTCTATTATAGGAGAAAAGGTGTGATTTGATCCAAATGTTGAAGCAACTCCAATCATCTCTATATCTTCACTTCTTACTATTCTTGTTGCTCCATGTGGCAATAAATTGACTTGATGCATTGTAAGCATTAATTTCATCAATTTTTCTTACATTTGTGCCATTGCATTCTTTATTTCAAGAAGTTTTATCATAATAATATTTAAAGAAGGGAAGATGTCTAATATCACTAAAGACAAATAAAAGAGAAGACTTAAAAATAAAAAAAATAAAATAATAAGAACAATATCAATTTATAAGAAGGTAATCTACAACTCTTAATATGCTTAAGTTTTATCAAGAAAAAAAAGTAATCTATTCTTAATTAAGAAAAAAAAAAGCTTTAATATTATAATTATACTCTTGTAAATCTATTAAGGATAAGAATTTGATGAAAGCAAATAAACAAGTAAGATTTTTTCAAAGAAATCTAACAAAATAAAAATAGAAAAATATGTATATTAAAAAAGAAACTAGAATAGCTATTACTAAAAGAAAAAGAAACTAAATACTCTTAAAATTAGAGTAGAAGCAAGAAAAGAGTTGACAAGAGAAAAGAAGGCTTCAGTCTTACCTCTATATATACTATCTACCTACGATCTATGTGGTGACGTTCTATAAGACCTCCAAAAATATGTTAATTTTGTATGACATATATCTTAATTTGCAAGACAAGTTTTCTATATGGATACTACATAGTTAGCTTTTCCATAAGCCATCAATACATGTAGCACATGGTTAAATTATTGACCAAGTTTCTAACATATCAATCAACTACAAATACAAGTAAAGTCAAAATAGTATCTAAGAAGCTTCTAAGAAGCTTTTCTAAAAGATATTATAATATTAATCTACTTTTATCTACTTCTACCTATTCAAAATATGTAAGTAAAAATTATAGTAGATGTATATCCATAACAAGTACTCACCATAACTTGACTTATACCTCTCCAATCAAATCTTTGTTTTTTATGTCTTTCATAGAGTTGATTTTGACATGCAATGGCTTAAGTATTAAATTATTCTAATGATTTTATCCTTCATATTATTAACAATAATTCTTTGACATTATCTTTGAATCCATATTGAAATTAATTCATAAAGGCCTTATCATTCTAATCTAGATTGCAAGCAAGGTTTTGGGATTTAACAATATATATGGTAGTTAAAAATGATCTTTATTGTAAAGCTACAAGTTTAGTCTTTTCTACCTTTTTTTATTATTTTTTCCAAATGTGGCCTTGAATACTTCTAAGAATGAATTTAAATCATAGAATAGTCTTGAAACTTTTTCCATTAAAGATACAAATCAAGAGAGAGCACTTACAGATAGAAGTGCACTTATAAATCCAACTTGAATAAATCTATTAAGGTATTGAGAAAGATGCAACCTTAAATTGAGCTTTATTTATTGTAGAAATCTTTGAAACTTTGATCTTGTTTAATTAAAATTCTCTAATATACTTATTCTTACTTCTTTTATACTTGTAGTAGTAAAACTTTTCAAATTTAGCTATGAATTTGATCCACTTGCTTCTCTCAATTATATAATTTCTTAGAGTAGACTTTAAATTTCATTGTTGATTTCTTCCATAGGCATTGGAATACTACCTCTATAGTTTACATTTGAGATACATGAAATTTCTACTATAAGATTATTGACAAGTTTGTGAAGCTTTGGAATGATTACAAATCTATTATCACTTCTATTGAGAGTAGTACCTATAATTTTTCGTTTCAGAGAGAATTCAAACAAATTTACGAATCAAGATTAGAAAAGAGCAATCTACAACCTCTAAAATCAAATAAAAATTTCCTAAAAGAAGGATAGTCAGGGCCTTGAATACTTCCAAGAATGAATTCTTTGAGGAAAAAATTAATATTATGGAAAAATATTAGATTGAAGGTGGATAATTTACAACCTTTACAACATAACAATAGAAGTAGAATCATTCACTCACTTCTTAAAACAAGACAAGATCAATGAATTAGCATTCTTGTCAAACTATCAAGGACATGAATCTTAAAGAACCAAAAATTCAATACACTCTTATGTAACTCAAAAAAAATAGATATTCACTCAAAAATAATATAATATTAAAACTATAATGACTATTGCCAAAGATAAGAAGATTAGAAAGTCTTGAAATAAGGCTAAAGATTAGAAAGGTATTTTCGAGAGTGAAAAAGACTTCATTCTTGTCTCTATATATATTATTTAACTAGAAGCTATATGGTAACATTCTATAGGACCTCCAACACATGTCCAATTTGTAAGACACTTGTCTTAACTTGCAAGGCAAGTTTCTTATATGTGTGCCACATTATTAACTTATACCACAATCCACATACATGTGCAATACATGACTAAATTATTGGCCGAGTTTTTAACCTACCAATCATTTATAAATATATACAAAGGTGAAATTGCATCTATGAAGCTTTTAAAAAGCTTCTCTATAAAATATTATCAAACTAACTTACCTTTACCTATTCATAATATTTAGGTAATTATTAGAATAAATATGTATATCCATGTCAATTAATCCTCCAATTAAATTCATACTTACTTTACTCCTAATAAAAAAATAAAAATGATTCTTTTTTGGTTTATTTTAGACTTAGGTGTTCTTAAAAAGTAAATTTTGTATGAAAAAAAATCTACTACATATAAAAAGATTATTGTAGCATATTAAAATAGACTCTTTATTTTTCATAAAAAAATTAAAAATTTGAATTTTTAGCTTTCATCTATTTCTTGAGTTTAAATTGATACAAAAATTAGAATTATAGATTTTATCTTTAAAATGTATAAAGTTTTATACTTATTTTGTAATATATATATATATATATATATATATATATATATATATATATTAATAGTTCATAGAATAAGATTGAATATAAAAATAATCTTTATTTAGATTCTTATTAATTTAGATGGATTTATTAAAAGATTTTTTGAATTGATGTACATATTTTTAAAAAAAATAGAAGTAGATTTTTCTTTAAATAATAATAATAATAATAATAATAATAATAATAATTATAACATGAGTAGAGATAGATTTAATTTTGATACATATCAATTATTATTTGATATTAGAAGTGGTGCTTATCTAAAATCCATAGTAATGTCTTTTGAAGCTCATTGATAAAGTCTTTCTTTGAATGCAAGAAGCTAAGTGAAATCTATTTACCACTTTGTGTCCTTCCAACATTGTTAATAGTTCTTCTTTCTTGCTTGAGTGCAAGCTCTCCAAATTTTCTACCTTCTATTGGTATCTCAATATTCTTCTTTCTATAGATCCACTTTGATGCAATTAGTATATGAACTTATTCAACCTTAATCTTGTTCAAACTCTAAAAAATATTTTTGTATTTATTGAATATATAACACACTTCTTTCTTCTTTTCTCTCTCCAATATTTATTCCATGGGTTAGAAAGGACTTTTAATATAGTCAAGAAACACTTAAGCAACTAGGCATGTATCAAATTCTATTAAGTTAGATTATTTGAGGTGCAGCTCAAAATTACATCTACACTATTTTGCACTGTTATAGGGACAATTTCACTTTTTAAAAATTACAAAATAATAGCAACTTAAAAATTAATAAGTATTATCATATATGATGATTTATTATAGTATATATTATTAATGTATATATGATAATGCTTGTGAATTTGTTTTAAGTTATTTGGATAGTATTTATTCTTTTTAATTTATTTTTAAATAAAATTTAATTATAAAATTTAAAGTAAAATCTCTTTTTCTAATAAACCAAAAAGGTATTTAAAATCCGAAACCATCGACTTTTATAAACAGAAACAATATGAAACCATCAAAGTCCAATATGATGAGAGGACCTCAACGACAAACAAGAGAACAGAGGCATCCATCCATAAGATGGATGAAAGTCCACCTCAGGGTGCTATCCTATCCACAACGTGTGCCAAATAAAGTGGAATATACTCTACTCAGCATGGATGAGAATCCAGGACGAAAAATATCCCCCGCAACATGGATGAGAAAAGGGATGAAGAAATATCGTCGACCCTGCTTCCTAGTTACAGGCGCTCGGAGACAATGCTGCTCCTAGCAGTAGCCATGGCTTCAACTATTGCATCTCTGCCGCGAACTGGCCATGGCCTGCAATGTTTGTCGCCGCACCCTTGCCGCCGAGGATCCTTGGCTTCGCCGCAAGCGACGAGAGGCAGCGGCCTTTTCCTTGGAGATAGAAATTGGAGGCAACGGAGAGGACCGCTAGCGCGACCGGTATGTTTTGTCTTTCTATGTTTTGTTGCATGAACGGGCGATGTTCGTTGCTTTTAGGTGGATTGCGAAATTTTCTATAAAGAAAGAGTGATGAAGAGTGCTTTTCGAGGATTTAAATTTCGTGATTTATTTTTTTATTTTTTTGAGGCTTTGTTGGAATATGATGTTGCATTTGTTGCGGATGTCATATCCAGTCATGGATCTGTTTGAGTGGTTCTGGTTCCAAGGTTTAGTGAGGTGGTTTTACCGTTCGAAGTCGAGGTGTTTGATGAATTCAGTGGTGCACTTCTTGAAGTGGAGCCTTGGAATAAGAAGGGAGTTTCGGAAGGTCTAAGCTGAGATAGTTTGTAGATCTGGTGTTTCCGATTTTTTTCATGTTAACCATTGAGACTTTTGTCATTTATTAGAGCTCAATGGGAGCTAACTGACTTTATTTAACTCGAATTATGAAGAATCTTTTAGCATAGAAGCTTCATAGTAGTTTCTTCGTCTTGTTCTACTTCTGAAGTCGTGGAACCTTTCAAATATGTCGCACCACGTAAGTGTTATAGCCGACACTTGGACATATTTATGCCATGTGTGACCTTGCTATGAGTTCTATTTCTCAGTAAATGCGTATCATAATTTCTTTTGCTGTTCGCTTCATTTTCTGAATACGTTCTCGCAATGATAGTCCAGCTACTAACTTTCAGACACATGTAACAATATCTACGAAGGTCCTACGCGTTTGTTATATTCGATTAGATGAACATTGTTACTAGTTCACTGTGGAATTTGACGAAGGAAATATCCGCCGAGTTTGTAGTTGGAATGCAAAAGCTTCAAAATGAACAGATTCGAGTGGAGATCTGGATCCGTTCTCTGCCATGCACTGACCTTGTTGCAATGGAGTGGATCAAACCACATACATACACACACACACTCATATATATCTCTCTCTCTACATATATATATATATATATATATATAGATTACAAATTCACTGGAAAGGTGGATTGTTGTTTGCAGAAATGTGCGCTAGCGGATTCCTCAGTATCCTGGAATGGAAGGCCAGTAGTACCTGTTGTGCCGAATCAGAATTGGAATAGCGTGGCTGGGTCAAAAGTGCTAAGGGATACTGTGCTTCATGATATCCGCTTGGAGAATCGCCTCAAAATTTTCTCTGGCACTGCAAATAAGGCTCTTTCCCAAGTATATGCACCAACAGACTTGTACTTGATATTGCATAGTCATGGCGATAGCATCAACTGATCTGCTTGTTTTTAGGGCATGTTTTCTTCAATTGCATTTATCGTACGTTGAGATTTTGGCGAGACTAACAGATGACTATTAATAGGATTTCCCCGGTTGCATGATAGCACACTGTAAGCACTTTGTTAAAAGGAAACAGCTTTTATTTTTTTATTGTTAGTTTTTTTAAAGGAGATTCAACATCTATGGAACCAGTTATTTATTTATTTATTTATTTATTTCTTGTAGGAAATCGCGTACTACATGGGTCTCGATTTAGGAAAGATAACCATAAAGCGCTTCGCGGACGGAGAAATCTACGTACAGCTACAAGAGAGTGTTCGTGGTTGTGACGTGTTTCTAGTGCAACCAACATGTCCACCTGCAAATGAGAATCTGATGGAGCTCCTCATTATGATCGATGCATGCCGCCGAGCTTCTGCTAAGAACATAACAGCTGTGATACCATACTTTGGTTATGCTCGAGCAGATCGTAAAGTGAGTTTCATATTACATCACTATGTTCTCTTGATCTGCATTTCATTCTTTGACTTGAACACCATCCGCAAGAGTCGTCAATAGATATTCTCTTGACATATTGCAGGTGAATATGGTTGATTTTTAAACAAGGGAATTGATGATAGGTATAGAAGGTTGTAAGTAGGTATTACTATGATGAGTCAGACAAGCAGCCTAGTGATTTCGTTGTCGGATCATCAACTCGGATGTCAAAATATTAGCAAGGGTGGAAGTGATGCCAGCATAACGGCGATTACTTCACTGCCATTTTATTCTATGCAGCACCTTATGATAAGACCTGTTCTGGTGCACAGACCCAAGGACGAGAATCTATTGCTGCCAAGCTAGTTGCAAATTTAATCACTGAGGCTGGAGCCAATAGAGTGCTGGCTTGTGATCTTCATTCAGGGCAGTCAATGGGATATTTTGACATTTCCGTTGATCACGTTTATGGTCAGGTGAGTATGATTCTTAGCTCGTACTTTTACCAAGTGCATTATGTATGGGTCGTGCAACGAGGTAACTTTATTCTTTTCGCTTTGAATGACCTTTGATTAATCTCGGAGCCTTGTGTGCAGCCTGTAATACTCGACTACCTGGCAAGTAAAATGATATCATCAAACGACTTGGTAGTGGTGTCACCAGATGTTGGGGGAGTAGCTCGTGCCCGTGCATTTGCTAAAAAGTTGTCAGATGCTCCGCTAGCTATTGTGGACAAACGAAGACAAGGGCATAACGTTTCAGAGGTAAATCAACATTAGCATTAAGACCAACTCCACTCAATCATACAATGTGTGTGTGCAATTTACGACCTATCATTCTTCTCTGCGAAATGTTCTGATGCATAATTTGAGCATGCCATGGGATCAGATTTGAGCAACTGAAAATGCTTTTCTATTTTTGCGGAAAACGATTTGTTAATTTGATTATAGAACGGATTGATTTGGGCGTGGTAGGTGATGAATCTCATCGGAGATGTCAAGGGAAAGGTGGCAGTAATGCTTGATGATATGATTGACACCGCCGGTGAGCCTTCTCGCTGTTGGCCCACGCATCTGTGCCCTATATAAGAGACGAACTCTGGAAACAGTGTCAATTATCTTGCGTCTATTAATTATTATGTGGATATCCCCGCATACAAAGTTGCTCTCCAGTTTAAACATTTATGGATATTATGGGAATGGGATTCGTGCCTTCGTGGTAGCGTTGCATGTTCTAATCGACAAGAAAATTTGTCTGTGAAATAGTGTCACGTATTGTTAGCGAGAAGTGGTTCTGTCATTCTTATCAGTTTCTTTGTGCATCTTTCAGGCACAATATTTAATGGTGCAGCTCTTCTTCATGCCGAAGGAGCTCGAGAAGTATATGCTTGTTGTACACATGCCGTCTTTAGGTGAAGTTGCTCTAAATCCCCTGGGGATATATATATATATATATATTTTATGCTTGTGTTCATGATATTTCCATGTTTTCGCTCCCTTTACTTGTGGGCCTGACGAGGTGTCACGAGTTAATGTTGTTCAAATAGAAATTTTCGACTGTTATGAAACTGTGTGACTGGCTGCTGCATCCTCTGACAACACCTTTCTTTGCTGCAGTCCACCTGCTATAGAAAGACTAGCAGGAGGATTATTTCATGAAGTCATTACCACCAACACAATACCTGTGACGGAGAAAAATTACTTCCCTCAATTGACTGTGTTATCAGTCGCCAATCTTCTTGGAGAAACCATTTGGCGAGTGCACGAAGAAGGCGCTGTGAGTAGAGTATTTACTTACAGCTTATCTTTTTCTTCGGTAGAGATCTTACGTATGTATATTGTTGGCGAATGCGTCAATTGTATGTAATCCTGGTAGGCGTCATTCCGTTCGTACTTTGCCAGAACTTACAGCAAGTTCTGTTTCTAACTTTTGAATGATCTTACGCACCTTGGCTTTGAATTTCCAGACTAAACCCCAGAGATTCTCAAGCCTCGACAACCACTGAAGTCTACGCTCCTGAATTTCCACGCACATTTCCCCGTCCGACTTGAGTATTACAAATTCACGTTTGAGAATGAAAAGAGCTTTGTTTCAGCAGTCTTAGTGTACATAAAACTTTGTAACATAGATTGAATTTGTACTGTATTTAGGGATTGATACATCCCAGATTTTCTGCTAGTTGGTGATACATGATTTCTGTGTTCTAACCACTTATATTTGAATATCCAGTATGGTTATTTTATTGATCACAGCTTTGTATTTCACAATGCATTAGCTGGATGCGAAAACAGCAGCTTGCCCCTTTTGACTATTGCAGCTATGTGGTAATAATTCGTATTCTTCAGATGAATGTGTGTGCAGTTCACGTAAGACATGGATTTTCTATAAACTCGTTGACGAATCAACTGTACAGAGTATTGAATACAACCCAAGAAAAAGTAGTCCATAAGAAGATGAAGTCTTTCAATAATATAACTCAAGTTAGTAAACTAAATGTTAGTGCCACTACCTAAGTTCAAATTGAAGACTTATAAGGCAAAGGAAAATGCACTTATCATGTGGTGGACCTCTTCTACCCAATATGTATAGCTTAAAATAGAGACGTATTTATAAATGCAAAGTTTTGCCTTCTACTTGATAATTTTGTATTCTTAAGTAATAGATGATCAACAAACAAAAGGCTAAATCTTTTGTTCCAAATTAAACCGTTGCAAATATTAATCTATTGGTCAATGGTCATATGTATTTTAAATATGAGGGTGGTTTTGTTGAACCTAAAATATAATAAGAAAAAAATAGAAAAAAAAGAAAAAAAGATGTAAGTTTACATCTATGATAAGAGTTATTGTTGTTATGTACTTTATACTACTTAGGTATGATTTGAGAAATAGTAGTCTTGATGTTTATTAAAATATTATCATGATTTCAAAAAACTATCATTTTAAAGAATTATCTTTGTACAATTTGAAATAATATTTTTATTAGAAATTTTTTTTATCATCTTTGGAGTATTTTGTTAAAATAATGTAATTACTCCACAACCATTTCTTGTGAATTTTGGTAATTGTATTGGTAAATATTGATATTTTGGCTTTGTTAAAAAATATCATCATTATTTCTAGAACACTTAGTATCTATGTTATATCATTACTACTTGGATAGTATATTTTGAACAATTTATTCACGTTTTAGATCAACATTATGATATATAATTTGAAAACCATTAAATTTGTCATTCAATGTTTTGTAGCAAAAATAGTTGTTTTATTATTTAAAAAATAAAACAACATTGTTATGTTTTTTTTTTCTTAGCATAGATTATATATATATATATATATATATATATATATATATATATATCACTAATAAGTTTACAATCCACTAAATTTATATTTTATAATTTACAATTTCAATAATTATTAATATTAAAATCAATTAAGAATATTGTCTTCATTAATTGATAACATAATATACATCCATTTTCAATTTTACACTATAAATTTCACATATCTTATACATTTTTATTTTTTGTAAATTAGAAATTAAAAATAAAATATTAAATTATAAATAAAAATAATTTAATATTTTACTTAAATAATGTAATTATTCTAGTTTTTTAACATGCATACTAGTTTTTTTAATTTTTAATTTTATTTTACAGTAAATATATGTATATAAGACAAATATTATATATATATATATATATATATATCACAATTATTACTTTAATATGCATGTCAATATTGTATATACCTTTACTGATTTGGCTTTAAAAAAATTGTTTCTACTTTCTTTCAAATAAGCCATAATCAAGTCTTTATTCTATATAATTGCTACTCTAGTAGTTGTTGCATTTCTAAGCTTTGGCAAAAGTGCATCTTTTCTATCAATATTGGAATCTTTGCTTTCCAAAGTCAAAATTCTTTTTACATTCTTAAGAAAAGAAACAATATTTCTATCAACTTGTATCAATCATTTATTTTTTTTATCTTTTTTTTGATGGTTTGTGTAATTTTATTTCAGATTCTATAATATTTTTTAAATTAATTCTTTTATGAGTAGAAGTCTTTGTCTTATTTTATGGAACCTCTTAATTTGGGCTACTACACTCTTGCAAAGTATTGGAATAGTTTCAAAGTAATACATAAGTACAGTGTGCTCCAAAGATGCTTTATGCCAAATGTTAACTCACCTAAAAAGCAAATATTAAAACTTATGTGCATTGAAACCAATTTTTTTCTCCTCTTGATGCCACCATAATTTCACAATTTCATAATTTGGAATTTTACATATTAATTAATTATAAAAACTATTGCAATTAATGCTTATACTAAAGAAATTCATGTGTTTTACTGACTTCTATTGAAGATAATGTTGTAGATTATAAGAAGGAATATCAAGGAGACTTATTTAAATCAAAGATGTATACTCTAAATTTTATGAAATTTTATTTTTATCTTTTTAAAAAAATACTATATATGTTAAATAAAATATAATTACAAAATGTTCAATGCTTTAAGATTTAAGAAAATAAAAAAATATATATTACAATAATAAAAATAAAATATAATAATTGTTTATATCTATTATATTGTAACCAATATATATATCTTAAAATAACAAAAGGTGATTTAATTTGGATTAAATTTTACTAATATTATAAATTACAAAGTTTTTAAACAATTTTGTGACTAAGACAAATTTAACAAGCATCAATAGTTAATCATGCTTGCAAGAATGCACATTCACTATATATTAATGTGATTGTAATCAAACTTTGTTAGGTATGTATTAAATTCTTGGATACATCTCCATTTCCTTTTCAAATCATAGAAAAATATAATAATTATTTTCTTATCGCTACAAGAAATATAGCTACAAGAAATCTTGTAGCTGCATTTTTTACTTATTAAATGAAAAATTTAATTTATACCAAAAATTCATTAATTCAATGAGTAAAAAAATAAATTTTTTATTTTACTAGAAAAGTATTCAATAGATGTATTAATATTAGTTTAATTTTTTTTAAAGACAAATTATTGTCAAAAAATATTTATTAAAATTTGACTTCTCTTTGTTAACAATTCACAACATTGTCATAAGTTTGCTATAATTTTTGATTGGTTTGGTAAATACTTTCATATGCCTAAATAAACTTTGTAAAAATAAGTTTTTTAATTGTGTTTAAGTAGATACCAATTTTTTTTGCAAAAGAGACTTAACATGTAGATTAAAAAAATAGATATAATATGGACTTTGCAGTAACAAATAATTTTTTTATATTTAGAAATTTTTATTAATTAATTTTTATAAATTTCACTGTGTATATCAATTGAAAGCTATTTGTTGCACCTATTATTTTTTTAATATAAGTATCAATGGAATAAAAAATATGAATAATTATTTTTAAAATAGAATATATTGAGGTAGATATTAATATTTTGGAATATTTAAATAGCCATTAAAATTGCAAAATCCTCAATTGTCAATCAAATATCCAATAGAACTTTATAATATGAATTGTCATATAGAGGCACTAATAAAGGTAGTATAGTCTTTATAGTAATATCAAATTAAATGAAAATAAATCTTTTGGTAGCTTTTGGATGAAAATAATACATAAAACCATTATCTATATATTGTTCTAATAAGTTTCACAATCCAACTTTGACATCTTATTTGTGATCTTAAGACTTGTATACATTGTTGCAAGAGATTCTAAAAGCTTGGTATATCTTTGATTTTATTTATCAAATATAAAAACATGCCAATAAATTTATCAATTGGTAGAAAATGTTTTAATATCTTTTTAATGATTATCCAAAGAATATGAACTGAGCAATGCTACAAAAATAAAATTTGGACAATATTAGTGAATAGCATGTCAATTGTGTCATTAGAAATAGTACTAGTCTAAGACGAATTTATATCAATTTGAAGATTATTCTACAAATAAATAATTATTTTTAGTTTGGCATTGAAATTATCAAAAATAACTTCTTAAAAAAAGATAATAAGTATTCAATCTATGTCCTAAATTGCCTTAACAAAGTAAGAAGTCAAATACTTGAAAAAGTGCACATTCATCTCATAGATAAAATCAAATTGAACTAAAATTCTTTTATCATTTGCAATGTAGTGTCGTTTACAACCATGTATCATTTCTTTCCAATAGATATCTACATATTAGTTATTAAATAATATATTAATAAACCAAATTTCTCTTCAATCAAGCACATATTTTAATCTTAAAAAAAGATGAAGTTCTTTTTGCTAAATTAAAAATACTTATACATATTAAACAATCTAGTCAATTAAGTTTACATTTGCATAGTCTTTATTAATAAGTATAAAATTTATTGTCATATTATATTTGTATTTGGTGCTAATATAACTAAAAATATGATATAAAAAATAAAATAAAAAGGGACTTAAAAAGAACATCAAGTATTAATCAACATGATACTTGAGAAGATGGGTATAAAAATCAAAATTACTTTAATTGTTTAAGATTATTTTTCTATTTTTTCATTTTTCTATTTTCAATATTTGCAATAAAATAATTTACATATTATTTGCTTTATCAAGAAGACTTTGTAGGATACTTGATTATTGCAATTACACATTCAACTTTTGATGTTGCTTATTTTTGTTAATAATTCAATATCATCAATGTCTTAGTTTTTTTATATTTATAACAACTTTACTTTGCTATGATCCATAAAAAATGAAATTACAACCAATTTGACACAAATTACTAATTACATCAAAAAATTAAAATATTTATGGATCTTTTGAAAAAATTTTACAAATATAATGTCTTTAAAAATTTAGAAATAAACTTTAAATTCTTTTAGAAAAAAAATATTAATACTTCTATATTTAAAAAAAAAAAAAAAAAAAAAAAAAAAATGTTATTTTACAGTCTAATTATAAATTAGATTGAAAGGCATTCCAAGGATCTTATTTATACTATCAAATGAATCTTTTCTTAAATTTAAAACATAGATTATTCAAACAAAGAAATTCAAGCTACAAACAAGCCTTTATAATTTTTATTTTTCATCTATGCATGTTATTTCTACAAAATGGTTGCTTTCATCTATAAGACCATTTTAGTAAAATAAAATCCTTTAATTATGTCTATTACTTCATTATAATTTGTTAATGATGATTTTTTTCTATTAATTTTTTTTTTGGAATGCAAGTACTCTTTGCAACAAAAAGTTTGTCTTTTAATACATTAAAAAATGGTTGCTAGCAGTTAAATCTCTATCATAAGTCGCATGTGTAACATACAAGTAAATATCCATATATGACAATCTTCGTACTTGCAAATAAATTTTGGTTGTTGTCAAACATTACAAATTAAGTCAAATATAAAATAAAATAAAATAAATCGCTTATAAATAAAGATATTCTTTATTAGCTCATACAAGCAAAAAAATGTCATATATATTCAAATTTTTTACATAGAAATAAAAAAAGACAAGTTCTTATAATTGATGATGGTTAATTAGTGATTAGCTAAAGAAATTAGGCCTAGTTTATATAATATTTATTCATAATCTTAATAATTCATATTTGTGGTCAAAAAAATCTTTTTTAAAATTAATTAGATTCAACTCATTGGTGTAAGTACATACAAACTACAATTATTTGACAACATGTATAACTTGACTTGATACATTTGAGCTTTATAATTGATGTGATGTAGGAAGCAAAGCATAGAAAATGTGTCTAGATACATCTTGCTTTGATGATTATAGATATCATATGTGTCATTAATTGTAATATCTTTGAGAGAAATAGAGTTCTTTAATTTGTTAATGACTTGAAGAATTGGCTTTTGATCTAATGCACTAAAAATAAATGTTATTATGGTATATTATTTGTTTTACTTAACATCACATTATTTTATTATTAATTGTTACAAACAAACTTAATAATGTTATGTTATATAATAAAGTTGATAAATTTATAATCCAAATATTTTAGAACAAGATTTTGTATAATAGTTTACAAATATAAACCAAGTAATTTTTAATCACATGTAAATTTGCAAGACTATTCTTCTCACATCTAGAGTTTATTTCCTTCTTAGTTAGATATTTTAACAACCATTTATTTCATTTCTTGAACATCAAAGGATTTATTTTTATTTTATGTATTAATAAGTTACCATATTGATGTAAAATTTGTTTGCAAAATTCTATCACCGAAGTCTTTAAGACATCAATGAATAAATTTAGATTTGACATATTAATCTCAAAAAAAACAAAAAACCAACAGCCAGCCGTTCGACCATTCGGATCCCCCAAATCCACATTCTCGCTGCCATTATCTCCACCTGCCATCCCAATTGTTGCTGAATCACAACCTAGCATAATACTGGGGAAAGGAAACAAGACTCGATGTATAGGGGAGCGATTTTTTTGACATTCCATGGTTTGCTGTACACATTTGTTCTGCATTGTGATTAGGCTATGAAACAAATACCACAACCCTGCATATTCTTCACTGAAACAACAAAAAAAAAAAAAAAAAAAAAAAAAAAAAAAACTGCTTTCATGAAGCTTGTGCAAAACTCTGTGACTTGAGTGTAACTGAAAGTGTTCCTCATTAAAAGTAAGCTTCGAGGTCGAATTCCAGCACACAACACATAGATGACAACCACTACTCACACACGTAAAGTTAGAACGTAAGTCATACAAAATGCACTAATATCACCGAAAACATGTCAACGATAGGACCAGACGACAGTCTTCGCTGAGCTGATTAGTCCTCGACCATATACAGAAATGAATCCACTGGCACTCAGCGTCCATACTTCTGAAACTCCCACTCGCTATTATCTAATGGGCACACTTGCCGCGTCTTCAACCATCTGCTGATGCAATGGAAGTGAAAGGCGTGATTGCAAACACCTGATCCAAAACCCAAAGATGTGAGGATCCATCAGCCATCGCGGCAAATTGAAAACAGACAAAAAGAATTTGACCAAAAACAGTCAGTGTAGCAAGATCGAAGAGAGTTCAGAAAATCTCACCCCATGCTACGGTACACTCCTCGCTCGTTGCACTAGCTTGATTTGCTTGGCACTCAATACACAGGTCCATGATATGGTTGCGGCAGATGGCGCAGTTATCTACAACAATGTCTGCAAACGGGATCTTCACAAACGATCGATCAGATATCTCGCTGGAATACGAGCTTACCCGACAGCCAAGCACATTTCCAAGCTGATTGAACACCAGAAATTTGCGACATAGCAACAGATGTTGTAGTCGGTGGTTCCTCGCAAGGGGATCAGGCAAGGGACGTGACACAGAAGTGCAATTCACACCGTAAAGCTCTTTTTGAAAATCTGAGGAATGTGCTCATCTGTCACCGTATTCATCAAAACACGATTTCCAAAAACCACATAATCTCCGATTGTTCTCTGACAGTGCTCAGTCAAAGAAAATCAACATCCGACCATAGAGAAAGGCACGCTTACCCCATGCCCAAAGAGCCACAGCATTCCACTTCTTGATCTCGAAACGCTTCGGACGCTTCGAGACCGCACTGGAGCTTGCTCCGGCGCCGGAGCCCTCACCAGCCGAGCCCACCGTGGCCATCTCCGTGTCGCCTGTTGCCGCCATGGAATCCACCCAACCAATCCCCCCCTTGACACACAGAAAACTCTCAAAACAACGCGGTGTTCCTGCGACCGGATCAACCAAGCGAGACGAACAAACCCTAGAATAAAAATACAATAATAAAAAAAAACGCGCACATTGTCTGTATGGACTCCCTCACGCACGGTGTCGTCATTCCTTCGTTCAAATCTCGACGTCAGTTGCACGACGACGACGACCCCACGACGATAACGTAAAAGACAAAGTAACACCACCAGACATGCTTAACCAAATTAAAGCAGCAATTAGAAGCGCACTGTCGTCGACGACGAGCTCCAGCGAACCCTAATTCTGTTTCTGGAGCCTTCTTTGCCAGCAATGCTTTGTTCTCCAAGTCTGCCTGCATTTGCTTGTGGGCTGAAGGTTCTTATCACTATTTTTTAATATTTAATATGTAAGGACTGCTCTACCTCAAATACTGTCTGATCAATTAATCTTAGTGTTTCTTTTTTGTCTTTTTTCTATTTTTCCACATGTTGCTTGATTGTGTAAAAGGTGATGACAACTTGGATTTTGTCAATCCAAGCTGCTGTGCTGTAATTGAGGCCTGTCAATGATGGAAAGCTCATGTTTGTGTTACGAATCTGATTGTTTACATACTAAATATCTTTTTGATTTACAACATCATTTTCAGAAGTGAAAAAAATTATAGTAATTCAATAAGATGTGTTGATTTGTATTACATTTAGTGCAATGAAAAAAATTGAAATAATTAAATTAAACTAAAAAAATCTAACTCAATTTTTACTTTAATGGAGAAAATTGTGCCTAGGATCTTATTGTGAGACTGATCCAAATATGTTTATCCTTTCAGTTTGTGTTTTGAAATCAAACAAGAAGAAGTTGTTATATTGTTTACTGTTTAGCAAAGTATTATATTAACATAAATAAACAAGTAAATAATAAAAACTGGAAGCTGTAAATTATTATTATTATTATTTTCAAATCAGATACCATCCAATGAGTTTCTTAACTAAGTCAATTAATTTGTCAAAAATGATTTATAGACTTGATTTAGACAACAATGTGTATCCAAGTTTGATGGATATACACTGTTCAAAAAATTAACAAAACTTGTAATATTTTATCATAAAAATAACTATAAAAATTCAATTAATCAAACCAAATAAAACTAATTTGAAATACATATATATATATATATATATAGAGAGAGAGAGAGAGAGAGAGAAAAAAAAAAGAAAAAAAAAAAAACGAAACGAAAAAAAACGAAAAAAAAGGCAGCAATATGGCTTATCATAACATCACACAACAAAATAGGATCCTAATTAATGTTATTCAAGTTGAAATTTCAGTTCATCTCATTCTCAAATATTTTGGACAACAAGTGACAAAGCAGTGGCACTTAGAGTTGCCATCAAGCATTAAATCTTTTCTTTATAGGTCTTAAAAAAGGAAGCATAAAGTTTGTGCACCCCCACAGTAGCATCAACTACAGTATGTGTTTTGCTTGGTCTACATGCACATGAAGAGGACAATATCTCTTTTCTTTTCTATGAATTTTTGAAATGTGGCATTTAAATATTGACTATACAATATGATGCATAAATGTGTACAAAAGATGGACAAAAAGTTTTATGCATTTATGTACATGTGTGTATATTAAAAAAATTATTTCATTTCCATCAATTAGAGTTTTGATTCTTGGCTTTAAGTCATTGTGGCATGCAGTTATGAATGTAGCATCAACACGCTTTTCTAAAAACAATTACATAACATGATATAGCTCACACATACTGTTAACAATTTGTGTATCTATGTCTATATATACAAACATACATTCTCTTACTTTACATAGATTAGTTTCAACATTGTGTGTTTAATTAGTATCTTCTCAATGTGAAGAAGATTTCTGTTTATTGATGTTATGCTCACATCATACAACATGATGTGGTGAATGCTTGTTTGGCCTGGTGCGAACGAATCCTCCCACTTTTGAAAATGTTACTTGTTCTTGCACACATGTAGACTCAATTTAATTAATGTGTTGATTAATGGTCCACAAATCCATTTGCATTTAAGGCCTTGAATTGTGAATTTTTGACCCTTAATAACAAAGGTGTCTAGAGATTTAAAAGAGAACTTACCTATATCTTATTAAAATCTGGCCATGAATCAAACTCAATCAGTGATAATTAAAACCAATAAATTGAAAGTTGAAAAATGACACATCAATATTCTGGACAATCTGAAAAATATACTGTGACACAAAGTTGCATAGTAGTCCAAAAATTGACCAACCCACAAACACTATTCTTAACTTCCAATACAATTATGGAGTGATGAAATCTATCAAAGGTCCATAGTTGCAGTGGCTTTCAAGGAGGCAATGCACAAGGAAGGGAGGAGATTAGTGCATGCCATGCATGAATCACAAAGCAAAAACAAAGTGATTAAGCCAACAGCACATTGATTAAACCATGGCTTAGGAACTGGGCATAATGGAACCAATGTGCACCACTCCAACAACAACGAGATGGGATGAAGGAGGGAAGAGACCATACAAAGACAAGTAGTGCACTTTCCAATTGTAATGAAGGAATGCTTTTGCAAGTGAATGTGAGGCACTAGAAATTGGGGAAGAGAAGAGAAAGGAGAGCCACAAAAATAGGAAGGACCACAACAGTACTAGGGCAAAGTATGCAAAGACGAATAGGTAGAGAAGGGTGGCGATGGGGACACATTCAATCTAAAGTAAGTTTTTTTAAGTCTACAACACCTAGTTGAATTGTATATTCAACATTCTAACATGCAATATTGTTTTAGTATTCCAAATGGATTTTGTTCAGTTGTATTATTGTACATTATTATTCAGTTGTTGTGACATTCAAAAGTATAAGTAATACAATTTCAATGAGAATCTTGATTACATATATTTATATAATTATCAAGCTCAACACTAGAATAAGCACCATGGTAGCTCAATCTAAGTATTTGCACATGAATTGGTCATATATCAATTTAATCTATGAATAGAATATCAAAGATTCCTATTTAAGTAATAATATTTATAGTTCCAAGTCCCAATGTATACAAAAAAAACTTCTATTGCAATTGCTTGCTCTATTTGTCATTGATGGAGTAGAGTACTAAAAACATTTGTTGTCGACTTGGATATTATCAAGTTGCAATTGTCTGTAAAACAAAGTAAATTTTATCATCATAGCCTTGTTTGTTTATCTTCATCTCTACCAGGTGATAGATAAGATGTAGGATCACCTAATATTGTATCACAAAGAAAATATTGTCATCGAACTTTAGCATGCAAAAGTAAACTCCAAAGATGGTACAAAAGATTATCAAAACATATTAAAATACTACTATAGTTACAACATACAAGAATTCATACAAGAATGAGTACCTTTAATAGAGAAGATATGAGGCAACTCTCTTTGATAAATGAAACACAAACGTGGTGCTTTTCCAACATGTGAGACTAAGATCAATAAATGCCATGGAGCTAAAGTTCTTCTTTTATTTTCAATAAGAATATGACAAAATCTCTTAAGATTTTATATTAATTTGCACTCAATTGCAAACAATGATATTCACATTGAAATGTTGATACTTTCTTAAACATATGTATATCAATAGTAAAAATAATAACTTTAAATATATCTTGACAATGCCTATAAAGATCACAAATAAAATAAAATGCCACAAATATTAACAATGTGACAAAAGAGAGACATTTCAGAAACATTTTAGGAGAAGTTTGAAGATCATCTCTATGAAAATAAAACACAATATGATTTATATAATAGATGTATATATATAACATAGAGAACTTAAAAAACATAGAAATAAACATGAGAATGAGGGAACATGGAAACCAAGAAACACAAAGAAGTATAGATTAACAAGAAAATGGATGGATGTGCCATAGATTGCATTGCCCAACAACACGAGTTTTTGCTAAAGAACATAAATATGTAATAAATAAGAATTATGCTTGCCAATTACATTGAAGAAACATATATCTCCATTGTTATGCATAAATTCTTTAGGAGTGGTCAATTATTGACTTAATAACCACAAATTAAAATTTTACAACTTTTTTGTAGTCAACGGCATGGATTTCCACTAGTATATATACATATATATATATATATATATATCACTTGTATACTTTCATAATTGTTTCAAACCCTATACTATAAGAGTTGTCTTAAACCCTATTTCGTTCCTTTCTCCTTTCTTTTCTTGACAAAACCATGTTTTCAATATCAAGCCAAAGAAAAAGGTGTTGCTTCAACCAAGATTTTTTTTTCATTACCTTGAGCTTTTGGGGATCAGAACTCATGATTTACAAATCCATGTTGTAATTAGCCATCAAAGTTGGTATGCAAACGTTTGCTCTAATGGGGTACACAACATCCCAGAACGCTCAATGGAACCCCCCCCCCCCACACAGTTTCGCCTGCCAAAGCACAACCCTTAAGTAAGAGTAGCGCTAATCAGGCTGGATTAACTGCTAATCTGGACCCAAACCCCGGTGCTCGGTACCCCAGCCTGCACAGCACACAGTATGTAGAAGCTTGCCGGCGCCACCACCGAGCTCGCTGGCGCCGCCGCTGTCGTCGTAAACTTGCCGCTATCTTCCATCGCCTCGGGCTCCGTCATCTCCAGCTTCAGCATTCGCTGCCCCATGCCGAACGAATGCGTCGTGAATGGAGCGCTCAGCAAGTTAAGCTCCACAACACCGTCGCGGGTCGTAACTGTGAACTCCACCTCAAACGTCGAACCGTATTTGATCGTCTTCGTAGAGAGGTTGCTGATCGAAGGCCGAAGCCGGTCGTAACTGCAGGTTCAAGTCCAGTAGAATCCCATGAGTCGCAATCATGACCAAGTTAGAATATACTTCAATCACAAGACTGTGACTGACTTTCGCAATTTGCATGCAGCCATCGAACTTCCGTGACTCCATGTGCTTATAGGCTTTGAGAATCACTGTGAAGGAACATAAATGTCTAGTATGATGTATGGGTGTTTAATTGTATATACTCTGTTCCACCTCAGAGCATCCAATTCAGTTCGTGAAGAACCAGCTTGTACCAAGTCTCTATTTTTAATTGCATCCAGAGTTTGAATGCAGGAATGTATTGACCTTCTCAATCATCCAACAGAACTTTGCACTACGGCAGGGTGTCAGAACGCGCGATGCATCTTAGTATGATGCCTTGTATGTGGAGCTGATGTATAACGCAGCTCCGTTTCGCCGTCGTCAAACACATCTTAGTGTCATGACAGTCATTTAAGTAAGATACACGGTAGTAGTTCGACTGATAGAATACTTGGTAAAATTTATTTCGCTATCTTTGGTAGAATGTCAATATGTCGTTCTGGAAAAGTTTTCAAGTCCTTAACGCCTTCCACGATGAAGTCCACATCTCCTGAAGGATAGGGTAAAGTTTCGATTTCTTGAATCCAGAACCTAGAGGTTCTATTTTACATGCTGTCAAGCAGATGGTTCTTGTGACGAACTACAAGATTTTGTGTCAATACTCCTTCACTACTGTACAGTGACTCAAGAACAAACTTCAATAATACAAGTTTGGCAAGAATTGACAATGATGTGATACTTGTCGGTGGGGCCCTGCACATTAACGCCTATGACTGTCAGAATTGGTCGTAGTAAAACTCAATTATTGGAATAAAAACAAATAATCAAGCTTTTATACATGAATCAAAGTGCTATTTATATTGTGGGTCTACCGTAGACAATACTAGCTGAGGATGCTAACAAGCTCATAGCAGAGAGAACAAGCCTCCTTTGTTTGTTTTATCCTAGCATATTCAAATTTGATAACATAACATTTTGTAACTGCCTTGACGCCTAATACTGGAGAAATGACAATTCCTCAAGGTTTTGCATTGGATTATGCACTTCCAGATCTGAAGCCAACAGCATGACTGCGTCTAATACATGCAAACGCTAATCATAACGTGGTCAAACTTTCAGATTCGTTAAATGCAGTTTATGCGGCTTATATTCCGCAATTGACTATTTATTGGCCCCATTCCAAAGAAATATGCTCAAATCACTACTCGTTTGTTACACCCCTACATCCGGGCTTTCCAGAGTGGATAGTCCTGGGACGAACTCAATTGGAGAAAGACATGCAATCACCAACTACTCACGAGCAGCAATATTCATTACAGGCCCACTGTGCAGTAAAAATCATTTTAAGAGATTCATAATCACTAATAATATTGAACTATGTCCTAGACTACGTACCAAAATCAATCGCTTGAAGTATTTATGTTCCAGTATTCCAACGTAAAAATACACCAGCTGCCTGGATTTTCAGGAAATCGCTGCTAGCGAGCCCTGTTTGCGAACTACTACGGACAAATATTGTATAGGATAAAACAAAACTTGCTCTGGATCTCTTTGTTTTCACCAGGAGAAGTTTCATTCCTATACAGCTCTCGAACAGTCAATCAATAAGTGTGTTTATGGTCATCACACCCACAGCTGCTGCAACATGCCAGGCAGCATGAATGTATGGTGTATCCGGGTAAATATCATCCGCAACAAAAAGCGCACCTCCAACTAGAGTTGATGCCGTATGTAAAGCATGCGCTCCACGAAGCTTTGGGTTCTCTATCACCTTCCTTGCAAAAGTTGCCTAAGAAAAAAATCAAAACACGTGGCAAGGATCAAGTATGTATCAACTGACGAATAGACAGTATTTGTGAGGAAGACACAACATGAGCGTTCTAGAAACACAATACTTACCGAGATATTATATGGAAACAAAATATGAATTTTTAAATTATGACTACCTCAGCAAGACTTGTGTGAATGGCAGTGACAAGCAGTGGCTGGAATGGGAGCATCATGATAGAGGCAAGCATCAAAGCTCTAGAATTCTTGTTGTCGTTCTTCAATGCCGACGACATGCACTGCCAGGCTCACATTTCAGCATTTTCAGGATTTTAATTAAATTTCTGCAGCTAAAGAGCAGAAGTGCATTGAAAAATCAAATATACAGCATCTGCTCCGATGAAAGCACATTGTGGTCGAAAGAACCCGTGGAAGAGATTTACCAAAGTTGAAGTTGCAATCATTGCATAATCCCCCCATCTTGTACTTTTTCGAACCTCTCCTCGGGACGTGTGATATAGGGTCGAAGCCAATCCCACTCCAATCAATGAATTAGAGTACATTGTGGTCGAAAAATCCTTCCTGTGACGGATCACATACCTTAATTACCATGCAGAATGAGAAGAACGTACATTGCGGCGTTTACGTAGACAAAAAACTTTATCCATCCTGAACCTCGAAGTTCCTTCAAAGAGTCGGACACAAAATCCTCGCAGTAACTGAGCTCTTCTGGAAAATCCTACAAGCATCAGCATAAAAAGGATGCCCGAAAACATGACAAGTTGAACCAATCTGAAAAATACCGTGGCACTCGGAGACCTATGAGGACGAAGGGAAAGGACGTCGCAACATTGACAACGCTCTCCATTACGGTGCTATCTCCTGTTAACAAGATAGGCAGAATGAAACAGTATCCTGTCAGAGCTACTCACATGTGTCTAATTTCATGTGATGTACAAATTCGACGAGAAAATTATTCAAGACTCACCTTCTTTCCCTGAGTAAACAGTTCGCATCCAAGATGGTCTTCCTTCCCACGCCATTTTCCAAAATGACAGTCTGCGCTGCGTTTCTAGGGTTTGGCTCTCCTTCGGTTCAGCATCCCTGCATACATGGGAATCATGGCTCAATGTGAGAAGTTTGCATTATCACTCCCCGCCTCAACGGCAAGTCTCCCAGATACGGAACCAATGAGCTCACAGCAAAGTTCGTTTGAGTGAATGCGTACGACAAGGCGAAGATATCTGCTGAGTAGTACGTCTGGTCTAGGTCTTGGCTGTTCGTGAGTTCAACTCCATAGAGACGATTCGAAAGTTGCGTTGATATCTTTGAGTACTCCATTGGGGCATCTTCAGACAGACTGCCCCGATGTCTCTGAACAGTCTCAATACTAAATCCGAATCACATGAGCTGCAACTTCCTTGCCTGCAGAGCCAAGCTTACACTCAGATGATCATGTGGCTGCTGTAACAAAGAGCATTGGATTTGAAGGGTTTGAAGAGTTCAATCATTCACCCTCACCGTTAATTGACGGACATAAACTTTACTGTGCGCGTTTCAGGATTTGAGCATTATGCGTTCCAAAAGACGGCATCTCACTAGCAAGCAGGAATTGAATCATAAAACCATCAAAAACTTGCATGCAGAAGGAAGAAGCCTGAAAAACCCAGAAAGGAGCATATACAAGTGAAGGAAAATACCAGAGACTTTGAAAACAGTTCCTGCGTACTCTTACTACTCGTCCTCATCCAGAAGCATGGAAATTTCCAAATCTAATCTTTTCACCTTCTTAAAAACTCACCGCTAAACACCCGCTCTTCTTCCACATCTGTCAACGCTCGAGAAATACCAGCAGAATGATTCCCAGATTTCAAGACTTACAGCTACCTCGAGCTTTTTTTTCCTAAACTGTTATCATAATCGGAACCCACAATCCTGTTATCGTTTCCCTTCGCGTCTGGACGCCACAAGATTCCCCTGTGATTGAGTGCGATGAATTTATTTGGGTTTGCAAGAATTCTATCACGAAAGCTGGCGCGAGGATGCCGTTCGGCAGGCATCCCACGCCACCGACAGAGCCAAGCGTCGAAATGAGTGGTCTCAATCTCATAAAGAGACCACCGGATATTTCTAGCGTTATATGTTCCTTTCAACATTGCTTTAGGACTGGAACTCGAAATTTGGTGTGGTAACGGAGTTCTAGGACCAGAGCTTGTTTGTTTTAACCCGTTTAGGTTCGGAACTGTACGTTAACTCTGTTGCTGTGGAGTTATTTTACGGGTTTCGTTTGGTGGGTTTTGGTTACACTCTTATTTCAGTTCTTTTACTGTAGAACCCAATGTTGGAGGTTTCTTATACAATAGAATTTTAATACACTAAATTTTCGAAGTTACTGTAATTTAAAAATAAAATACAAATAAAATTGATATTGAAAATTTATCTATTGGAAAACAATAGATTGCTTGATAGTATGGCATTATATTATATATACATATATAAATGGTGTATATATGTTTACAAAAATCCATGATTTGGTGATGTTGTTAGCACCATTCATAATTACAAATTTAAACCGTTTAAAATTGTTGAGAATGTTTTAGAGAAAGAGACAAGAGTAGCTGTCACGGCCATAATCATGTAAGCTAATAATTACATATAGAAATAAGTAGAAGTAAGTAAAAGTAGATAAAAGTAAGTTAATTCTATAATATTTAATATAGAAGCTTCCTAGAAACTTCCTAGACGCTGCTTTGACTTCATAGGTGTCTTTAATTGACTTTTTGGATTAGAAACGTGGTCAACAAGTTGGCCATGTGCCACACATGTTGTTAGCTTGAAGATCAAGCTAACTATGTGGCCCACACGTAGAAAAACTTGCCTTGTAAGTCAAGGCATGTGTCCTACAAAGTCAACACATATTGGAGGTCCTATAGAACGTCGCCACGTAGCCCCTAGTTAGATAGTATATATAGAGACAAGAGTGAAGGCTTCTTCACTCTTGTCAACTCCTTTCTTGCTTCTAGTCCAGGTTCAAGAGTCTTTAGTTTCTTGTCTTCTGGCAATAGCCATTCCAGTTTTCTTTTATTATATCTACTTGTTTATATTTTGACTTGTTATATCGAGATAGCCTTTTGGTGTATATTTTCCCTCATCGAGTCTTTGTCCTTGACAGTAGCTAGAAGTAATGTGCACACACATGTAAAACACACACACACAAGAGAGAGTTTATTGATGTGGTTATCTCACTTACACAAAGAGAAGGGAAGAAGATAAACAATTTCTCTCCACTACATTCCAAACACTATAGCTACAATATTTACTGTAGACTATAGTAAATAGCATAGAGAGCGTTGGCTACATTTAATGCTCTCAACACTCCTCTTCATTTGTCATAATATTTATATGCATAGGATTATGATCTATATTTTTTTGTAATCTTGTAAGATCAACAACTGCTATCTTATTAAAATCTTATCTAAGAAAACCTTATTGTATTTAATAACAAAACCATAGATGAAAGAAAAAGAGTACAACATTATTTCAAGAGTTCATTAACTTTCTTGTTTAAGAAAAGCAAGTTGTCGCATGCCAATGCCACAAGTCCGCAATGGTTGTACAAAAGAAAAGCTTTGGTAACAAAATCAATAAGATTATTTGTAAATTCAATTTTCTTGAGCTTAAGTATTTGATCAATAACTAAGTCATGGATATAACTAAATTACTTTGAATCAATATTCTTTGTCTTATTGCCTTTAATGAAACCAACTTGCATCTGTGCAATACAAGGGCTATTCTCTTTATACAAGATAGTTGGAGAATCATCATATGAAAGTCCATAGGTTGTCTGAATGAGTTTATTAATTGATTGCAATCAAATACATTCCCAAGATGCTTCATATAAGGCAATAATTTCTACATGATTAAATTGTAGTTATAGTTTGTTTCATTGATTCTTATGATATTGTAGCTCTATGTCTTAAGAATATATAGCATGTTTGAGATTTAGTTGTTGCAATATTAGATTTATATACTCCATTAAGATATATCCAATCAATTTTGGATTTATAAATCGTATGTAGTATAATCTCAAATCTTTGGTGCCTTTTAAGTAACATAATAAATGTTTGTTGCCATTTCAATGTAGTAGTGTTGGATGTGCATTGTGTCTTGTAAAAACTCTAATTGCAAATGCAATATCTAATCTTGTAGATGTCACTAAATATAAAAGTGCTTCAATTGTTACAAGATATGGATATTACTCTCCTAATATTTCTTCCTCTTCCTCGCACAAACGGTATAGATCCACAATTGGATCAAAGACTTTCCTCTTACGCTGTCATATTATGTATTGTCTTGCTTGGGAATGCACCGGGTACCTAGCTATGGTAGGTGAGGTTGTGTTTTACAAACATCCAAAAAATCCTAATATGTTTCATCCTTATGAGAAGAATATAATCCAATTCCAATTCAAAAGTGCTAAAAAACACTCTTTTTAGTAGCCTCAATCACACATAAATCTCAATTATCTTGTTACTTTCATATTTAAGTAATTTAGATTTTTCTTATAAGCTCCAATTCTAATCAGTGAGCTTTAACAAGCTGTAACTTTTAATCTGACTGTCTACTTGATGTAAAATTTTGTATGCAATTGTCAATATAAGTCTTCCACACACTCAAGAATTTTCAGCCCAATTCAACTTATAGATTGTGATAAAACCTCCAAAAAATTGCACTAATGTCACTCGGCTGCTAACTTGAAAAGTGAAGCAAAAATCCCAGCAGTGATTTCTCCTTCTCCAATTGTTAATTTTAACTCAAAATTGGTGTGCAGCTTGATCTTTAAGTCCTTCAACACCATGCCAAATTTCACCTTGATCCAACAAATAAATCACTAGATATCACAAAAATCCTACCCAACCCTAAACTGCCAATTTCCGAAATCATCTTGTGCTAAAAACTAGATATCTTTAAACCACACCATTAGATTATTACAAAATTTTGTTTACACTTAGCACACCCAATAATCCAAATAATATCAAATTTTGAACTATAGATGTTATACCAATTGTACGAACTAGCCAAAATTGCTAGCCCTAATTAAATTATATAAAACCCAAATCACCAATACAAATCTTAATTTTGAACAACAATTGCTAAGTCTTCAAAAATCCTACAAAAACCATCCTTATGATCTTAGAAAGAACTTCAAGATAGCTCTCAAATTCTAATCTTTGATCTTCAAATAAAACCCTAATTTTTCCTAGGCGGTCATTTTAGTGACTAGAGATCTGATTTTGACCATGTCTCACAAATGATTGACCTCCAAGTATCAATCTAACCTATCCTAAGGATTTTTTAGTCCAATCCTACCCTCAACTTGACCTTTGTATCAACCATACCAACCATTTATCTCTTTTACTTTAAATTTATCAATTTATGGCCTTTCTAAGGCAGTAAAAGAGTTTCTATATTCTAGAAGGTAAGAATACTAACTAAATTTTATCTGCTTGCTATTAAGACAAGAAAATAAGCTAAGAGACTTTCATAAAATCCTTATTAAAATATTTTGAATTCTTATTGAACTAATATAATAGAGTATTAATTAAAAAATCATTTTTAGTCATATTTTCACTATATAATTGTGTCACAACACAACAATGCAAAGAAGTATACTCCTCCTCGATTATAGCTTTCTATTTTAACCAGTTAGAGTGACATATTGTTTTTAAAATAGTTTGAGGTTTATGATCCTATTTTCTATAAGAAAGAGCTTCTACAATCATGAATACAAATGATTCATCTATTATAATAGATGATCTATGCCAAATTTTGCTTATAGCATAATATAGAATAGATAATTTTTTACTCAACTTTATTATATTCTTCATAATTTCAATATTTTCTATTGCATGAGGTGAAGGTGTAATTTGCATGGACATATTGTTATTAATTGATGATTCCATAGATTTAGTAGGAACTTCTATAGAAACAATACTAAAATCATCACATGTTATAGCTCTCTTCTTTTATGGTTACTTATTTGGTCCACAAGTCCTTTTAATTTTTTATGTTTTAATCTAAGGTATATTAATTGATGAAATTACAATCTGAACAAGTTCATTCTAAGCCTCATTAGTTGGAACTCTTATAATCTAAGGCACATCATTGAAGCCATCAAGTGTTTCATCTGCAATCCGTTTTAAATACAAAATCTTGGAAACTTTAGTTTTAGCCAAAGATGTTTTAGAATCAGAATTCATTATAAATATTTCTGGTATTCCAAATATAAGTACTATATTTCTTTGTTGAATAAATATTATTTTTTGAAGAGATAAAAATATATTTTCTTCAAAATAATAATTTTAAAAACTTACACATAATAATGTGCTAGTTGATGGGTCAACTATACAAATAATGCTTGATAAATCAAAATCAACATACATGCCCTCTCATTGATGAGCTTCAATAGTACACCATTGAGGTTCTCGTATTAGAATCCAAGCATAGTAACTAAATACCCATAGGTAAGATACATTTAGAACATAATCTAAAATAAGCTCTTGTAGTGTAATAATTTTAAGAGAATAAAGATGGAGGCATATTAATGTTGTAGTATGCAAAATTATATGATCTCATATAGATGCTTGTAAATTTTCTTGAAGAAGGAGTGGCCAGATAATAAGTTATATATGCTTTAAAAATAACCCTACAAGTCCACTTTGAGCATATTTATATAGAACTCAATATGTCAAATTCAATCCCTATTGCAGTGCAATAGTCTTCAAAAGACTTTGATGCAAATTCATTTACATTATCTATATGCAATTTTTTGATTGGATAATAAAAAAAATGTACTTAAAAATAAATAAGCATAGATATAAAATTAGCAAACACCATGTTTTAGGTTGATAATAATGAAACTTGCGATTGTTTACTTGATGCATCAATAAGGACCAAAAAATAACAAAATGGTCTAGATATTAGATTAATAGGACCACAAATATCACCATATAATCTTTCAAACATTGGTGGTAAGTCTCATGGAAGTTTCCAAATTAAAGGTTGAAGAATCATCTTGTCTTACACACATGCATGATATAATTCCATAGAATTTGTATTTGCAAGT